TACAATAACCTGGAACTCTTGGTCCCAACTTCCCCTTTGGTAACTGATCACTACACTTGTTTTTTGAAGTTATCTTCATTGTTGAAAGTATTACAGTTGTCCTCTCCTTTTTAAAATATGTTTTTATTGATTTCAGAGGGAGGAAGGGCGAGGGAGAGAGAGATAGAAACATCAATGATGAAAGAGAATCATTGATCGACTGCCTCCTGCATGCCCCCTATTGGGGATCAAGCCTGCAACCCAGGTATGTGCCCTGACCAGGAATCAAACCTTGACCTCCTGGTCCATAGGATGACATTCAACCACTGAGCCACACCAGCTGGGCTACACTTATTTATCTATAGGTGCATAGGATTCGAACCATACCTTTGCAAACCACTTCCTGTCCACCATGTCACGGCTTGCACTATCAGTGAGGAGGACACACCAAGCGCAAGGATCACCAGCCGAAGTTCGGCATTTGGAGCCTGGAAGGAGGCTATGCTGCCTAGAAACAAATTACAGAGAGTTAAATATTTCTGGCAGCCACACCTTGGTACTCAATTCCCTGCATTTTATAACTGTTGTGTCTGATACCATTTTTATACACAGGAAGAGAGAGTTAATGGAAAATTGTGTGTGTGCATAAATCTTTTTAAAATTTTATTGAGATATAATTCATACCGTAAAATTTACCCTGTTAAAGTGTATAATTTCATGGTTTTTTATATATTCGCAAAGTTGTGTTATAATAATAGTGCATTTTGTTTATCCACTATCTAATTCTGGAATATTTCATCACCCCAAGAAGAAATCCATACCTGTTAGCCATCACTCCCTTTTCTTCTTCCCCACCCCCAGCCCCTAGCAATCATCTACTTCCTGCTCATATAAATGTTCCTATTTTGGAAATTTCATATAAGGGAATCATAAAGTATGTAGCCTTCTGTGACTGGCTTCTTTCACTTAGCATAATGTTTTCGAGATTCATCCATGTTGTAGAATGTTATCAGTACATCATTCCTTTTCATGGCTGAATAATATTTCATTGCATGGATGTCCTGCATTTTGTTTATCCATTCATCAGTAGATGAGCACTTGGGTTGTTTTCACTTTTGGGCTATTATTAATAATGCTGCTATGAACATTTGTGTACAAGGTCTTGTGTGAACATATGTTTTCATTTTTTTAGGTAAATACCAGGAGTGGAGGTGATAAGTCATAGGATAACATTTTTATGAACTGACAAACTGCTTTCCAAAGCTGCAGCACCATTTTACATTCACCAGCAATGTGTGACTGATCCAATTTCTCCACATCCTTGCCAACACTTGTTATTATCTATCTTTTTATAGCCATTCTAATGGGTGAAAATCTTTAAGGTAAAAAATAACCCAAATTGCCCAAGGTGTTTTGGCTCAGTAGATAGAGCATCAGCCTGTGGACTAAAGGGTCCCAGGTTCGATTCCAGTCAAGGGCACATGCCCAGGTTACAGGCTCAATCCGGGGGGTAGGGAGGAATGTGCAGGAGACTGCCTGATCTATGATTCTCACTCGTCATTGATGTTTCTATTTCTCTCTCCCTCTCCATTCCTCTCTGCAATCAATAAAAATATATTTTAAAAAATAACCCAAATCAATAGAAGTATGAACTAGATATATTCCTGGAAGTGGAATTGCTGGGTGAAAGAGTTTGTACACATTTGCAATTTTGACCAAAACTGTTAAATTAGCCTTCGCAGAGAGGTTTGCCAAATTAGATTCCCACTGGTAGTGAATGAGTGTCTGCTTCCCATCCTTACAATACAGTGTTATCAGACTTTATTTTTTCGCCAACCCAATAGGTAAAACTATACATAAGTATATTGTGAGTACAATTTGCATTCTACACATCCTAGTACATTTTTAAATAAACAATTATATTTCATTTCCAGTAAACTGATGGTAGCCTTTGCCCACTTTCCTATTGAGTTGTAGGTCCTTTTATTTATTACTGATTTGTAAAAAAAAAAAACATGTATTAGGGAAATTAGCCCTTTGACTAAAAGAACTGCAAATATTTTTCCTACATTGTTGTTTGACTTTGCTTACTATAGTTTTGGTCACGCATAATTTTCATATTTTTATGCAGTGTCCTTTAACAATTTTAATGGTTTCTGAGTTTTGTGTCATATCTGGGGGGGAACGAATACAATATATTCTAGAGTTGAACTGTTGACCAAGGTTTCTTTCCCCTTGTCGTTTCATGATACTTAAGCTTTTCCAATCTGATAGGAAAATTAGAAATGTAAAATACATGGGCTTTTGTCTACTCTCCCAATCTTACTAAAACTCTTGAGGTAGCAGTAAGAGAAAGAGAACTCTTTTTTCTAATTCAAACATTTAGCATTCAAAGAACAGCCTACATACTTTCATTTGATTTTTAACTAAAAATAAAACGTAAAGAAATACTTTCAAATAATTACCAGCAGCAAGGATCCGCAGCAGAGCTAGCATCCACTTCTTGTGCACCAGCTTCCAGACAGGAGTAGTTATGAGGCATAGCGGAGAGAGAAAAGCTACGCCAAAAACTTCCAGCCCGGTGAGTTCCAGTGTTTGCAGGGGAAAGTAATAAATCATCGGAGGCAGGTCATGCCAGAGAGACCAAGTAACGTATCCTAGAAGAAAAAGACTTTTCAGAGAAAGACCAAGCGTAAAGTTGTCATCGTTTCAAACAGTAACCCCGCCCCTCCACTAGGTCCTCCCGGCATTCACGTCTGGCATTAAAGTCTCTTCATTTGGAACATCCGGGTTGAAGTGGGTTTCCTGTCAGGACCTTGATTGACATTTCCTTACCTAAGTTGCCTTTCAGAATGAGAAATATGAAAACCGACAAGAACAACGAGCACTACACGGAAAGGCAGGTCGGTTAGTCAACATGTTCTTGCGCGTAGGCTGTTTTAAACCCAACCTTAGGAAACAGCATGCGGCAGTGGAATACCCAGATCTGAAGTCAGTTTCGTTTCTGCCAACGACTGTGAATCTACAATAATGATGCTTACCTTGTGCTAGGCTCTGTGCTAAGGATTTACACACATCCTCTCTCTTATTCCTCACACAACCCATGTCCTATGAGGTTGACATTATTTCTACTCCTCTCTTACAAATGCAAAACAAGTCTCCTGAGACTCGGAAAGTTAATTGTCTCAAGTCACAAAAGCAGCAAAGGCAGAATAAACTTAAGCCCACACAGTCACTCTAGCTCCAAACATAGCTTTCTAATGACCAAGTGTACTCACTTTCTCCCAAGTTACTTCTCAGCTTCCTTTTCTTTTCTTTTTAAAATATTTAAAAAATGTTTTTAATGATTTTTAGAGAGAGAGGAAGGGAGAGGGATAGATAGAAACATGGATGAGACAGAAACACCATCGATGGCTGGCCTCCTGCACTCCCGCTACAGGGGATGGAGCCCCCCAGCCGGGGCACGTGCCCTGACAGTGACCTCTGGGTTCATGGGTTGACGCTAACCACTGAACAACCGGTCTGGCTCTGCCTCTCTTTCTTAATCGGCAAAATAGCACTTTTAACCACCTTAGAGCTCAGCTTAAATGAGATCAAGTACAAGGAGTACCTAGCACCTAGCACCTAGGTACTTACTGCCAGTCGCTTTACATGGCCGTACTCATGAGATACAGACTGAGGCAGAAACATGGGCCGTCTGAGCACTACCGGCTCCAGAAAATCAAGTTCTCAGCCAGGCGCCCCTCCCGGGCCAGAGGAAAGCCTGTTTCACGTCGAACTGCGAGATCCCAGCCGTCTCCCAACGTTTGTCTAGGAACTCTGATTCATTCCACGCCAACAGAATTACACCGGTAACTGTTCGTGGGATTTTTTTGTAAAGCAACTAAGTGAGCTCGTGGGACCCGAGTCCTACGCTTTTCGCCAAATGCCCAAACGTGCAGCCTCCGCCCCCGAGGCCACCCGTGCGCGCCCACACCAGCAGCAGCAGCTCCTGCCTGTGTGCTCGCCCACGGCCGCCGGAGGACACGGGTGCCCCTTTTCTTCTGGATTTTAAACACAAAGGTCTCGGGTCGGGAGGAGGGCGGCCCCGTGGAGCGGGCGGTACCGGCCGCGCGAGTTCCAGGCCGACACGCGGAGAACGCGCGCGCCTTCGGGGGGCGACCCCACGCCAGGGTGGGAACCCGGAGGCACGGGTCCCGCAGGCGCCTCGCCGAACCCTCGGCCTCGGAACCTCGATCGGGGTCTTTTCTTTCCCCCTTGCGCTAGCAGAAGTTCCCAGGGGGCGATAAGCATCTCTCCTCTGGGCACTGAGAGCGCTTTTCTTCCTCGCGGGGCTCAGCCAGCCCTCCGAGCGCGGCGGCTCCGGGCCCGGCCGGGGGGATCCGCGGGACCCGGGGGGAGCCGGCCCCCGCGAGCCCGCGGCCAGAGCGGCCTCGGCTTACCCAGCCAGGTCTCCAGGAGGACTTCTCTCCACAGGGAGCGCATGGCCGCGGCGCGGGGCGGCGCTTTCTAGGAAAGCAGGGTGCGGGGGCCCGCCTGCCGTGCGCACCCTGCGACCCCGCCTGCCGCCGCGTCCTCCTGGGCCCTGCGTTCGCGCCCCGCGTCCTCTCGCCAAGTCCGCTGCCGCCCTCGGGCTCCCGTGCCCAGCTCAGGCTTGGGTGGGGCGGCAGCCTCCGCCCGGCCACACCCAGACCAGCCCGCCTGGCCTGGCGCCGCCAGTGCCCGCTCCGCTGCCACCGCCGCGGGCGCCTCGCGTCCCCAGGTCCTCGTGCCGCCTGCGCTGCGCCGCTTCAGCCAAAGCCCGCCGCCGCTGCCGAAGGGACCGCACTCTGCAGGGGACATGCGCGCGAGCATGGCGACCTGGGGGACCCCGCCGTCGGGCAAAATCCCCCGGCTCCCGGAACCGCCCCCGGATGGAGCGCCGCCAGCGCACAGGAGGGCAGGAACGAGTGCGCCTGGGACCAGCGGTGCCCTGGTTTAAACAAGGAGGAGGCAAAGGGAAGAGCAGCCGGTAAGACGGGCTCTGGAGCTTTTGGCCGACAAGTGTGAACAGGACTCTGGCGTCCTTAAGGCTTGGGCGACGCTCCGGAGGCGAGCGGGCTCAGGCGAGAGGCACTACCCCTTCGCAGCTTGGGTTGTGAACATATTGCATCCTGGAAAGGTGATCCAAAAATTCTAGAGGGCCCCGCCCACGTGGCTCAGTGGTTGAGCACTGACCTGGGAACCAAGAGGTTGCGTTAGATTCCGGGTCAGGGCACATGCCCAGGTTGCAGGCTCGATCTGCAATGTGGGGTCTGCAAGAGGCAGCTGATCAATGATTCTCCCTCATCATTGGTGTTTCAATCTCTCTCTATCCCTTCCTCTCTGAATTCAATAAAAATATTTTTTTAAAAAATTCTAGAGGTCACAGGATTTTGGGTGGCTTTCAGAGATGTAGCAATGAAAGGGGGGCAGCAATAGAATTTGGGAACCGGCTAGTATTGTAAGAAATATTAATCATGCGCTGTTAACCATGATTGTTTTATTCTGATTAAAGAAGGCACATTCTACCCTGGCTGGAGCTGACCTGGAGGTGCAGCCCTTTCTCCCCATTTGGAGCTGCCTATTATCATGGAAAGATTCACAAAGATTTGTTGCAGAAACCAGAATCGCCAGCCCTTTGAAGATCCCCAACCCTTTTGCACACCTGCAGGCTTTGCAGACCTCCAGCCTGCTCACCTGTTAACTGCCTATCTGGCACCCCCTCTGGCTATTTCCCCATGTAACCCTAACCCTTGCATAGCGCTAAGCCCTATGAAGACCCCTAGTCCTTTTGCATATCTGCAAACTGCTCTTTTGCTTTTGTGCTTTTGCTATGTACGCAACTGGCTTATGGTGGGGTGCAGAGCAGATTTCTGTGGCTGACCTGCTGCTCTCTCATACTGCGGGCAGTACTGGAATAAATGCTCATCTATGATTCAGCCCTGTCTCTGCTTCATTGGCTCAAGAAGTGACAGGCAGCACGGACCCATTGTTTGTCCAGTTACAGCAACACTTGCTCAGGGGAGAGAAAACAGGGGGGAGTGGAAACTGCCCTCCTCAATGGAACAGGAATCTTAGGGGAATATAAGCAGGCTTAGGGAATATTTAGAATTGGGGTCCATGGAAAAACACAGGGCTAAAGACTGGGAGAAGGTACATCTCCATAACACAAGGTAGCCAGGTGCAGTCACATTTCCATAACACAAGGAAGCAGCAACAGGCACATCTCCATAACACAAGCTAGCCAGGTGCAGTCACATTTCCATAACACAAGGAAGCCAGGTGCAGGAGCAGCAACAGTTGCATATACATAAGACAAGGGAGCTGGAAGTAGCCAAAAATGTCTATATCTATATATATAAGAGGCTAATATGTAAATAGACTGGAACAACCGGTTGCTATGATGTGCACTGACCACAAGGGAGCACACGCAGAACATGGTGGGCATCGGGTGTGGTGGGATGGTGGAGCAGGTGAGCAGGGGCGCCAGACCAAAGTGGGGCGCTGGCCGCTGTCATTGGGGCAAGCCTCTGGTGGTTACAAAAAATTCTTTGCTCCTGCATGCTGCAGTCCCACCCAGTGCTCGCACCTGTTGCCAGTGCCAGCCCTGCAGCCACCGCTCACACCTGTTGTCGGTGCCCAGCGCCAGCCCTGATTTCTCAGTGCCATCAGCTGATGTGAGCAGCGGCTGCTGGCCCCAATCGCCTCTCAGGGTTTCTCCACCTCCCCCTGCTCCTGAGGGGCAATCAGGGCCAGCAGCTGCCTCTTGCACCCACTACCAGCGACAACCCTGCTTGCACTCACAGCTGGCGCTGGAGCGACCGTTCACTCCCACTGCTGGTGCCTGGTGCCAGTCCCGATCACTCGGTGCCATCAGCAGGTGCAAGCAGCCGCTGCTGGCCCTGATCGCACCTGAGGGGCAGTTGAGGCCATCATTGGGTGCGAGCGGGGCCAGCGCTGTCAGCACATGAGAGCAATGGCAGCAGGAGCAGGGCTGCTGGCAAACAGGGGACCAGGGTCCGTGGCAGGAGGGGCCATGCGCAGGTACAGAGGGTGGGCTAAAACCTGCCCCTGTGCCCACCGCAGCCTCGCAGCCCACAGTTCCTTTCAAGGTGCATGAATTCGTGCATTGGGCTCCTAGTTTACAAAATAAAGAAGAAAGAAGAAAGCCAGAAAGAAAAGAACAATGAGGAAGGAGGGCATCCCACATCCCACCTGGTGCTTGACCTTTGAGTTCAGGAGTTACTATAGTAACCAATCTAAGGGAATAGCGACCAATCAGAGGGGATATCAAAGCACCAAGATCTGCAGCCTTCTAAGGAGTAGGGAAAAAGAACACAGTGGGACCCTTTTCTCCCTCCCCACGTGGGAGTCTGAACTTGTTCTTCAATAAATCTCCACCTTTGCTATACCACTCTCTGTTCGTGGATTCATTCTTCGACTCTGGCGGACAAAGAATCCGGGTTCCAGTCCAAAAATTCCGTTTCAGCAACATGATGAATAACGGTCTTGGAGAGTGCCCAGCCCCGAGGAGAAAGCGAGAGCTGGTTCTAAGGGACAGTGGGTCGCTGGAATCGCAAGTTATTTCTTGTTTGAGTATTACCACACCGCAGACTGTCTTCAATTTTTTAAACAATGTTCTCAAAGCATTTTGTTTTTAGTCGCTTGTAATTTGGAGGGGAGAGGGGAGTTTATCACTTACCACTCCTGAAAAGTTTGCTCTGAAATTAAACAATGACGGGTTGCTTAAAAGTGTAAGAAGCACGTAGGAGTAAGTTCATAGCAGCTTTGAGCAAAGAGTTCCCAAAAAGTTAATTACTGACTAGTACTTTGTCACAGGATAAAGTTATGGATCAATGGAATAGAACTGAGAGCCCAAGAATAAACCCTCTCATTTAGGGCAAAGGATTTTCAAGGAGCTTCCTAAGACAACGGCATGGGGGAAATGCCGGAGGCTAATTCCAGCAGGTCATAAATGCAAGAAGTTTCATCAAAAGGTTGATGGAACCTTGAGGCTTCAGCAGGCTGAATCATATGTTATTACCTACTGGAATGGCTGGAGGCATTTCCCCAAATCTGAAAAGGATACATAAATGATTACCTGCTACCAGACTGCTGAGGACACTTTAATCTACATGTTATTGCCTCCTGCTGGCCAAACACCTGAACAGCCAGAGGCAGTTCCCCCAAACTCTGACAATGACCTTTGATATGTATATCTACTTTGCTGTTAGGACAGTTTGTGTTAGTAAAGAGCGAGGGGTCTGGAGATTCAGGAGAACTTGGTTCCTACAGCTAAGCTCCTCTGGCTCCCCCATAGATTACACATTTATATTATATTTCTAGTCTATTAATTTACGCTGCAGCGTCTTCTCCAGATTCTTGAACCCTTCTAGATGCTGGGAAAGACCCCCGGCATTAGGGAAAGGCTAAACTTTTCAACATTTGGTTCTAGGATAACTGAATAGCCACATGAAAGGAATAAAGTAGGACCCCTATCTACATCATATGTAAAAATGAACTCAAAATGGATCAAAGACCAAAATATGAGCAATCTATCTATATAAAACCCTAATACGCAAATCGATGGAATGACCCATCGCTGTGATGTGCACTGACCACCAGGGGGCAGACGCTCAACGCAGGAGCTGGCCCTAGCCCACAGGCCCCGACCAGTGACCAGCGGCAGCAGTGGAGGATGGGGCTGGTGAGTGGTCAGTGCCAGGCCAGTCAAGGCGGGTGCAAGCAAGGGTCCTTCCCTCCCCCCCGCCCCCCTCCCGCCGCCCCATCTCCCCGCCGGTTGTCCTGCAGAGGGAGGCAACCAGCAGTGGGGGGTGGGGCCGGCGAGCAGGCAGCACCAGGCCAGCCAAGATGGGTGCAAGCGGGGAGGGGGGGGGCATCACTCTGTCAGTCACCCCACAGATCAGCCCTAATCGCCAGCCAGGCCTAGGGACCCTACCTGTGCACGAATTTTATGGATTGGGCCTCTAATAAATCTATAAAACCCTTAGAAGAAAACAGGAGTAAATTATCATGATCTTCAGTTAGGCAATGGATTCTTAGGTATGACACTAAAAGCACAGATAACAAAATAAAAAACTGAATTTCACCAAATTCACTTCAAAAGACACTATCAAGAAAGTGAAAAGACAATGTACAGAATGGGAGAAAATATTTTTAAATCATACATCTGGTAAGGAACAGGTATTCAGAACATGCAAACACACACAATTACAACTCAATTCTGGCAGCTCCGTTGTCCCTATAGACCAGCATCCCACAAGCACGCACTCCCAGTGAATCCGACTCATTAGCCGGGCATGGAAGCCTTCCATAGCTGAGCGCTGCCTCCTCCAGCTCCCCTCCTGCCACTCCCTGCACCTTCCCTGCACCCAGACCACACCAAGCTCCACCTTCATCTCCACCCCCTGTTCCACCGACACACTGGCTAGCCTTCTCCCCATCCGTGTCAGCAGCAGAACTCCAACTCCCACCACCACACTTCCTTCCATTTCCAGGAAGCTCCTCAACATCTTTCTGTGTGCACACAGCTCTGCTCACATCCCACCACCCCTATGAGTTCCTGGCCACCAGGTAGCTGGTTCTGTGCACCTTGCAGGGCCTACACCAAAGCCAAGGTTGTGCCATGTTGGCAGAGGGAGGACAGTCATGGCGCACCAACAGCCCTCTCTCCAGCCCATTAAGGAGAAAACAGACACAACAAGGGCCCATCCTACGATCTAAGTTCCTTCCCTAGTTACCTCTCTTTACCTCTGTCATATTTTTTAAACTAAACTGAATTCCAAAAGAAGATTAAGAAGCATCTGGCAGGGGGCAGTGTCTCTGAAAAGCCAACAAAGCCAACCACCCCTATTTGCAGAAATCTAGAACCATTCCCAGGAAAACGAGAAAGATGTGCTGGTAAGATAGTCTGTCCCCTTGCCTGGGACACCAGTGCACCAGGGGGCTCTCTGCCTAGAATGTTGAGGCCTAGGTGTGGAGCGGGAAGCCCAGAGTCCTTTGCGGGCAGGTGTCAGTCAGCCCACACCTCTTACAAGCGCTGAGTCCTGTTCTCCACACTCTTTTCTAGAAGCCTCCCGTTCTGCTTGGCCAATATCTTGATCTGGCTCCTGCGGTGATGTTTCTCTTCTTCCAGGTCCCTCCTCACACGGGAGAGCATCTAAAACACAGATGGACAATGTCTCAAACACCACACGCTCCCGTGATTCCACTGCTGGGAATCTACTTCCAAAAGAAGAAAAAGGCCACGTGCACAAAGATGGTCATTTTGGTATGATCTACGCCAATGGGAATGACCAACACAGCCAATGACATGTGGATGGCCAAGTGTCCCGTCCAATCAGGCAAGCACGGCCCTCCTGTGGCCACCGAGCACTGAAAACACAGCCGGTCTGAGCTGTGATGTGCCACAACTGCAAAATATACAACAGATTCTGAGGACTTAATAACAATTTTAAAAAACAATGTAAAATATATCATTAATAAGTTGCCTGGCCGGTGAGGCTCATTTGGTTGAGCGTCCTCCCAGCACCAAGAGGTCACTGTTGCAATTCTCGGTCAAGAGCCATGACCAGGTTGTGGTGTCCATCCCCAGTAGGGGGCCTGCAGGAGACAGCCCATCAAGGATTCTCTCTCATCATGGATGATTCCATCACTCTCTCCCTCTCCCTTCCTCTTGCTGATATCCATAAAATAAAACGTAACATATTTAGAAATGTATTCTTGTTTCACAAACATAAAAACACACAGGAGCAGGGGTTGGATATGAATATATGGCTCAGGTTGGACTGCTCCTGCTCTAGAATATCATCCCGGTTGGTGTAGCGGAAAAGTCTCAACTTTTGGCATCAGACAAACTGGGTTGCAACCCACTACTTAAGAGGAACAAGAATGGGAACCCCAGCTCACAAAATCATTG